CTAGGACAGTTAATTTCATTAGAGTGCAGTTCAAAATATTTCCTATAACTAAATGTACATATTTTTCCCAAGATTTGTGAAATTTATGTTTTAATTTCACTTATTAAGTTTTCTAATCTTTTAGCCTATAGCTATTCTCCCTCTTCCAGGCCAATAATGCTTAGTTTTGGTCTTTTATCCCCAGTATTTTATATATTCTACTTATTTTGTTATTTTTTTAACTTTCTGAATGTGGCATTTTATGAAACTTATTTTCAAGTCCTAATATTCTTTCTTCTGCCTGATCTAGTTTATTGACACTTTCAATTGTCTATTTTTTTTGTCTTATGGAGGTCCTCATTTTGAAGATTTGCCCCTAGTCTTTTTTCAAAATTTGTTTTTTTTTGGAATGCTTTTTCACATCTTATATTGTCTTCTTCATTTAATTCAAGAGCTTATCTGAAGAGTCTTTGAATGAATAATTCTATAATTCTAAAATAAATTGTAGAAGCAAAGAGAAATTTAAAAACAAAAGAGAAATGTCCATGGCTATAGCAATAAATGGAAAATGATAAATTATTTCTTAAAATTTGGAAATTTTAATTGGACCCAGTAAATGAGAATATTCTACTTAATTGCTCTTAAAGAAAAACTACCTGTAATGCTAAATGCTGGAAAATTTCACATGTTGCTACAATGAAAAGAAACTTAGAAAATAAAAGAGGACTGAATTTCTCATTTGGCATTTCAGCCATTTTGGTGTCTTTGGAATCAGTAGAGCTATGAACTCTACAAAGTGTCATTTTATCTTGTTTGATTTACATTTATTATATTTCTCTTATGACTTTTACCTCTGCTGTGATATATGTCACTCTACTGTGATATATTTCACTTTTATGTAAGGTCCTTTTTAGTGAGAGCAGAGCTGAGATGTCCTGGGATGTAGGTTTGTTGTGCAGTACCAAGTTTAATTACAAATGGACAAGTTAGTGTAGTTTCCATGGCTTCTTTGACTGTGAGTAGTGGCTTTCAACATGTTGAGGACTGTGTGAGATCCCCAAGAAACCACTTTTTCTGTAGGCTTTGAAAGAGTGGGGTCATCTGGTTGTTCAGGCAGAAGTGTTCTATCCAGGGAATTTAACACTGGGGTGAAGTGTCAGTGACTACTACTCCAGTTCTGTTGACAGTGTGGGTCTGAAAGTGTATCAGAATGACTGGAGATCCCTTAGAGGTGTGGGGTCCATACCGCTTGTGTTTTCCCATGTGTTACTATGGAGATGAGTGCTTAGGAGTGTTTTTTGGGCTCCACCTCACCATGCTTACTTGGAGTGGTGTCTTTGGTGGGCAACCTTATTCCTGTATTCACTGAGTTAAAATATGTTTCAAGTTTGAGTGTGATTGGGTCCTGTTGGAATAAGGTGTGATTTGAAGGGTATAGCTCAGTGACAAAGCTTTCAACCAACATGATTGAGATGCTAGACTTAAATCTCAGAACTGAACGATAAGGAGAAAACAAACAGTAAAAAAACATGGTAAGGAATAGAATTGATATTGATGTAGAAATGCTATAAAAGAGAAGTAAAACTAACAACAACAATAATAACAATAGAAAAAGGGGGGACTTCTACAAATTAAAAAGCTAAAAATTAGTAAAAGTAAAATTGATTTTAAAAGGAAGAAAAATAAAAGGGGAAAAGAAAGAAGAGAAACTTTCAAAATTAAAAAGAAAAATAAGGGGCTAGGGATATGACTCAGTGGCACAGTGCCTGCCTGGCAAGTGCAAGGTTCTGAGTTTGATTCCCAGTACCAAAAAAGAAAAAAAAAGAAATGAAAAGTAAAATAAAATTAAAATGAGAGGCAAGAGAAAGCTTGAAAATTAAAGAAAAAAAATAAATTTGAGAAAAAATAAAAATATAGAAAAATCCAATTTCAGAATTAAAATAATATAAAGTATTAAAACAATGGGAAATTAAAAAGGAATGATGAAAGATGCACTAAATGGAGGGAGAAAAATTATTCAAAAATTCCTTTAGCCAAGGTATTTGGAGACACTATTCTCAGAGTCTTCTGCTGCTGGACTCTTCCAGAGATAAAGGGGTAGTGGGTCCTAGACAGACTCTATGGTGACTCTCTGCAGCTCACTCTGAACAGTTGGGAGCAGTACACAAGCCACACACCATGATTCTTGCTGGGCAAGTGAGGGAAACATTGGCTGTGCAGGTGCTGTATCTCTGAAGGCTGATACATGCCCACCTGACAGTGGTGAAAGCCAGAGCACCTTCTCACTGGCCTGGTTTTGGAGGTATGTAGATCACCCCAGACAGGCAGGCGCTTGCTGTGAAGGCTTTTACTTTGTGCGCCCCACGGGTGTGCCCAGTGTTGGAACAGCAACAAGCCTGACTTGCCCACTGAGTTCAACAGATTATGGACCTTGCCAGTGAGATATGAACTCACTCCACAGGTTTTTCAGGGTGTGTCCCTGGAAGCTGGGCCCATGTTGGGCTACAACATGCCCTTTCCCCACAGAACAAATTTGGATAGTGTAGGCCATGCCAGGTGGGTGTATATTCAGTTTGGAGGATTTTGTTCTGTGCTCCTATGTGTGTGCTCGAGCTACGGCACATCTCCAGAAGGCCCCTAAGAGTAGGAAAGCAAGCCAGCTGCCAAGTTCTTTCCTGGGTCCGGGGGAGGGGGATCACAGGAACTGAGCCATTTGGCACTTTCAGAATTGGCCCCTCCACAAAAGTGCATAAGACTGCTTGTGCTTCCATCACAGACAGCGAGGTCATGGACCACCGTGCCCTCCATTCCCGTCCCCATAGCAACCCATGCTGTTTCCTTCATAAACCTTCCGGAAGATCTGTGTCAAACACTCCTCAACACAATACTGTCTCACTTTCTCCCATTCAGTGTGGCAGAGAATCGACATGAACTCTAAATTTCTATGGTTCCAGCTTTTCTGATCCCCAGAGCAGTTT